AAAAAAAAACTTAAAAAAAAAAAAAAAAAAAAAAAATATATATATATATATATATATATATATATATAAATAAATGACAAAGAGTCAAACAAAGGCAAAGTTCTCCAGCAAAACCCATATCAATCAGGTGGTAAGATCAAGTTACATCCCATAACACATCTTCCACAAATCTATTTTCTGGAAGCCTGAGTAGGTGCTTTCTCAGCAGGCCGATTCTTAAAACATTTCCCAAGAGCAAGTTGAACCTAAGAACAGCCACAGAACCACTACAGCATTCAAGACACAAGATACACTCAGAATTCAATCTACCATTTTACTTCTTGGCTCCTTTGGCAACCTACAACATTTGACAAAATGTTCAGTACAACAAAACTCTGTGTGGGATACTGTATGCTACAGTACAGTGCACTCTACATCTTAACCATGAAATAAACTGGCAACACTATCAAAATTTCAACAACTTTTTCTAAATAGTACAAAAATGTACTCATTTTTACACCAAATTGGATAAAATAACCATTTTTCATCTCATAAATTATAAGTTGATGAAACTCACTGATTTATGGATACAATGAGGTCATGTGACAACAATGCAGTATTATTTTCATACTGTTTCACATTCTCTTTTCAAAGGGTGATGTATGTAATCTTTTATGCTAAAATACCTTGTATTCCAGCTATATATGGGTATACACGAATATAAACACACAATCTCAGCTTAATATTACATTGATTCCCTCTGACAAAGTGTAAAACACTATGATGATATCAAAACATTGCCCAACCAAGAGTTTGGGATGGGACAGTCTGGTTGTCTGACCAATCCAGGGGTAGTGTTTGGGAAACCTGTTTGAAAACTGTCATTATTATCCCAACTCCTTTGCTAGTGGCGTAGCAAAGAGCTTAGGATATATTTAACCAGGCTTTATTCAGTCTGTACTGCACAGTTAGCAATATGCTAGTATTCCATTCCTAACATATCCCAATATTTCTCCTAGCAGTCATTTTGGTAACAAATCCATAGAAAGAATGAAAAACCCATGGATAAAACCACAGTACCACACCCAAACTTTCCAACGTCTGTGAAGGAAATCGGATTCATTTCCTCTGCCAACCCTCACATCCTTATCTTGGTCACAGACTGGCTGCACAAGACCCTGTGTGTTACCTGACTCTTTTTCAATACTGTGGAAACCAACGAACACTTCTGCAGCTTGATTTAGGTAGAGGAAGCACCTGTCTGCGTTTCATAGCAAAATTCATTGGTTTTGAAATGTCTTCTTAGTTCCTCATATGCTCCTCACAGTATCAGCTCAGCCAAAGTGACATTCACATCTGAAAATTCATGATTTAAAGCAGAGCAGAGGACATTTTTGGTTTTTGACCTTTCAGATCAGACTCTTCATCAACCAATGCTTTTTCTCTTCTCTAATAAATAGTCTTCTGATATTTTAGACACGGAGAATCTTGATCCTCTATTACTGGTGGTAAAAGTAGGACTTTGAACAGGGCTCTGAAAGATTGAAGGGTCTGATTTCCGGGAGTCCCATTCACAACGTCTAGGCTTCTCTTCGCTCTTCGTTTCCTTTCTAACATTTTTAGTGTCTCTTTGGTGCTCTTTCAGTAGTGTCTGTTCCTCTTGGTTGTTGCTGAGGCCATCCGTTGACTCTCCAGACGTGACCATGCACATGTTTGCGCTGACGCTGAAGCGGCGTTTCAGACGAGGAGAGTGATCGAGTGGGATGACCAGGCCGTGCAGCAGGTCACTACAGCTCTTGGACCGTGCCAGTTCCTCCTCCTGCTTCTTCCTCCTCTCGTCTGCTCCAATGGCTCGGATAACATCGCTGTAGTCCTCGACCTTCTCAGACATGAACTCAAAGATGTCGATGACGCCAGAGCGAGGTGACGGCTTAAAGGCTTTTTTGACTTCTTTTTTTTCCGGTACGTCATCGATGGGCAGCCTGTGGCGTCTCAGTCTCCTTTTCTTCAGAACTTTGTGAGCCTCGACCACCATATGCACATTCCAGCTGAAGAACAGTGACAACCAGGCAAGACCCAGGCAGATCCATAACTGCACGAAGAATCTGTAGAGAGTTGGGTAATCTATATCTGGGTTCACACCTAAATGGAGAAACAAAGTGAACTTCCTTTAGTCAACGTATCAAGCCAATTGTTTCATTTACCTATCTAGATTTATTTTTACACCACATAGACAGCAATGTTGATGCATCATAAGTTGGTTCACGTGTACAGTGGACAGAAAGAAGATGCACGCCAAGAGATGAACCCAAGATATTCGCAACATCTCAGATTAACAGTAGAGCAAGCAACATTTTGACGCCACTGGGTTTAAAGAGTAGGTTTTTTAACGTTGTATTACCAAAGACCACCAAATTTGATGACTACTCACTGTTTATGGAAAATAGTAAGCAGGGTTATTATAGTTAACTAAGACCATAAAAAAATGTTACTTGAAATTAACTGAAAATAAATCAAATTGTTAACTGAAATAAAATTAATTTCAGATTTCAGCAACATTGTCATTTTTTTATTTAGTTTAAATCAATATACCAGAATAACTAAAACTAAATTATATTTCATTATTTCATTTTACTGAAATAAAATTAATATAAACTATATAAAAAATAATAAAAAACGAATGAAAATGACATAACCACACAACAAAATAACTAAAACTTGAACTAAAATTAACATGAAAATAAAATATTATTCAAAATATTACCAAAAACTATAACATTACCTCAATGATACTAAAAATAACACTGATAGTAAGCAACATGTTTGCCCATTAAATTATTAGCTTTTATTTGACATTGTACTGAAAACAAAACAAACAAAAAAACATTTTCAAAATATTATCTGGAAAGTATTTTGAAAACATTTATTTGTTTTAATTGTATATATTTACTTTATTTATTAAGTTAACAGTGTATCTTTTTCAAACCAATATCAAAATATTAGAGAAGCATTTTCAAAATAATTCAAATGTATTTTCATACCACTTTTAATTAAAAATATTGTTCCAAAGCAGCTTTATAGAAACTAGTGCCATACTATTAGTGAGGAAGCAAAAGGCAGTGGTGATGAAAACATTGGTTTTCATGCCTTGCTGCTGAATGTATAAAATACAGTGTTATCTTCTTTTAAAGGTGTCATGAACTGAGAAATCAAAATTCCATTGATCCTTTGACATATAAGAGGTCATTGTACTATAAAAACATTCTGAACTCAAAACTTTCTAATTAATCTAAAAACAGCTTATATTGAAGCCAATCTGCCACAATGAAAGGTTGTGCAATGTGTCACTTTATGACGTAATGGTGTGGCTAAACCCCGCCTCCGCAGAAGATGATCAACGCCTGCTTCGAAGTCACTGCCTGTTTAGCCCCGCCCACCGATTCATGCATGTAGTGTAAACAACGAGAGAGGCAAACGCAGGTCTACGCAAAAAACAAACTATAAAGATGGCTCTGAAGACAACAAGACACTGTGTGGTGTTGCGTCAGTAAGAACTAGGTCCTTTGTTCACTTCATTTTTACAGCGGATTAGTTTACAAACAAAGCACAATTCGACGCAGGACTTTCAGAAAGATTGAAAGTAAAAGACAATGCTGTGCTGACTATATTGGATCCGACAGTAATGTCGTAACACACAAGTGTGAGTAACTGTTTTTATTACGTGATCACTATTGCTTTGTCTGTTATTACAGATCGTTTGATATGAACTGGGTATTTAGGCAGTCAAACATATACAACTGTTAGCCAAACATAGTAGTGGGCGTTTACTTCCAAGTCTACAATCTGCCACGCCTATTCAAACAGAGTGTTCCAATGAGAGGGGGTCAAAACAGGACAGAAAATAGCCTATTACTTCTAAATGATGATGTTTTTTGATGTTCAAATTTTAATAACATTATAGGTGGACCTCAGAGAACAGTACAAAATAAAAAACAAAGGCAGTTCAAGACACATTATGGTAAGGGGCGTAACATTTCCGTCACACGCTTGAGGTATTCGACCAATCACAACGCACTGGATAGCTGGCCAATCAGAGCACACCTCGCTTTTCAGACCGATGAGCTTTGTAAAAATCGACGCATTTCAGAAAGCCGGGGCATAGAGGAGCAACAATAATGTACAGTATGTGGAAAATAATGTGTTTTTTTTACCTTAAACCACATAAACACATTTCATTATACCAAATAATGTTCTTTTTAGCAACATCATATGACCCCTTTAATTTGTCATTTTCCACAAGCACAGTTTGTGGGCTCCTCACTCACATTTGTTTTCAGCAAAAATGTAAAAATCTATTTGCAATTTTATAGTTACCTGCTACATAGTCACCAAAACCAACAGTCGTCAAGGTGGTGAAAGAGAAGTACAGGCCTTCTAAGTAAGTCCAGTTCTCAAAGCCCATGAATACAAAGGCTGGGAAGATCAAGTGAACCAGGAATCCCCATAAAAGGAATACAATTGTGCAGATGAACTGTACTTTT